AGGGTCATTACTGTAAGTACACGTCAACCTCTGAGTCAAAGATGACACCTCTAGGTATTTTATGTGATGTTTTGTTGTATTATGTTATGCTATGTTATGGTATGTTACATTACAGTATGTTATGATATGCTATGTTATGGTACGTTCTGTTATATGATGTTCTTGTTATGTTATGTTATGTTATGTTGTGTTGTATTATGATATTTTATGTTATGTTAAGTCATGTTATGTTACGTTCTGTTATGTTGTATTAAGTTATGTTGTGTTATGTTGCATTATCTTATGCTATGTCATGTACGTTACGTTACGGTATGTTATATACTCATTTCCAAAAGAAACTGGACATAAAAAAAGAGTGTTAAATAAAAATAATAAACCTTTGTAGACACAGAGACAAAATTTTGCATCTAAAAAGAAGAAGCATTTCTGAATTTGAAAACCTGTATTTTAATGCACATAATACACACCTGGTGCTTCAAGCCCCACCTGAAGTGATAGGGTCCAAATCCAAAAAATCAAAAAATGTACATTTTTCCAAAAAGAAACCTTACAATGACATAGCCATCCTAAATTATGGTTTTCGAAACGTCTGATAGCAAAGCACACTCGTACTGGTCAAATCAAAAACACTTCAGGTAATGTCTGAAAGTTCGGCAGGATTAGTATCGTGTGTGACCGCCGCCTGCAGCAATGACGGCGCGGCATCTGCGCCTCAAAGAGTTGACGATGTTGGACATTTGATGTTGTTGGGTAGCGTTCCAAGCGTTGGTTAGGCTTTGAATCAACTGAGCGTTGTTCTGAGGAGCGGGGTTCATCTCTTGAATTTGAGGCCCAAGAATATCCCACATATGTTCAATCGAGTTCATGTTGGGTGATGCTGCTTGCCAGGGATGGATGAAACCGAATTGTAGTTGTGCGAGGTAAGCTTGTGTCATCCTGGCACGATGGGCTGGAGCGTTGCCCTGTTGTAAGGTGTAGCCTGGATGGTTCTGCACAAACAGTGCCACGTGTGGCTGCAAGATGGTGGTTACGTAGTTGGCGCCCTTCTATGCTCTCGGAGCATGTACCAGCGCCGTCCTGTGGTCTGTTGTGATTCCGCCCCAGACCATCACTTGCTCATATCCCCGGTTAGGGATTTCATGTACTCACTGGTCAGCAAACCTTTCATTTCGACGGCGATATACCCGCACTCGACCATAGTAGCGACCTAGGACAAATCTAGACTCATCCATGAAAAAGACCTGAGACGAATAGCTGTCTGTGTGCTCACTGGTCGGTGTTGCGGGAGGGTTCTGGCAGTATGCGAAGCAGTCTGGAACCTGTCCCTCAGGTGGGTGGTGCGGATATACCGATCCTGTGCCGGGTGGTTACCCGCGGCCTCCCTGATCTTGGCCGGTCTCTGGTACTTCCTGTGTGCGTGTACCTGGTCTGCAGACTGTAGATGGTTTCCCTGCCACAGTTAAAAATCCTTGCCACATCCGCCACGGGAACATCTGCTTCGAGATGCCCTACAGCGTGCCCTCGCTCATCTGCACTGAGACGCGACATGGTTGAAAGTCGACAATTGTCAAGATTTCTGAAGCTCGCAGTTCAAATGCAAACGATGTTTTCATAAACTTATTACACA